AAGCACTAGCAAAGGAAGAACTAAAGAGGAAAGATGAAAATTTTGTTTCCAAATAAGCAAGTTGAGACAAATGTGTATGGGGAAGAAGAAGGGAGTGCTTAAGCACAGAATTTACTTCTTACTGACAAGCATTCTCAGACTCTTGCATTCAGCAGTTTACAGGTTACCAGGGATACTAAAATGGACATAGATTTTGTTTCATCAAATTTTTTTCCACTGAAATGAGATGTTTTCTTAAGGCACATGAGCATCATGTCTAAAGTACCCACTTAAAGGTTTAGAAAACCTAGGAAAAAACTATTTTCCCCTAGTAACAATATCCAGATTTTAATTTAGTCATCAAAAGATTCTCTAAATTCAAACCATTCAAAGCATGACTTGCTGAATTTTCAAAAAGAAATTATTTCTTCAGATTAGTAGGGTTCTTTGTATACAAATAATACTGGAAGGCATATTAATTGACCATGTGAACTAGAATTAGTATTCATTTTCAATGTCAATGTAACCTACAAATTCAACTTAAAAAAAAAAAAACCAAAGCTATCAAATATCTTGCAAGAACTCTGAGAAAGGGGAAAAGTGAAAGCTAAAAAGTGGACATGTTTGTGAACTGTACATTTATGGAAGAAAATTTATCCCTGCTACTTCATATTGCTTACTGCTTGGCCGGTGGATAGCACAAGGTAAATTGGGAACTCTCTCCAGTCTTTTTGTTGTATTTCTTTGACATTCCAGTAAAGTTCATGTTTTCATGCCCAAATGGGTAAACTACAGTTTGAGCCTAAAATGAGCAAGAATACTTGTTTGCATGTAACCTCTTAAACATGATCATAAAGCTGGTTTAATTAGAAAATGCCAAACATTCATAAGTCCAAGGCTTTCTTAATTCTCAAACAGAAAGAGATGAACTGGTAAATTCAAAACTAAACATCTAGTATTTCGAGGCTGCAGAGATCTCATGCTTCTATTTTAGTATTTTATGATAAAATGATAAAGTTATCCCATGATCTTACTTACAGAATGTCTGGGTTTTTATAAAACTGTGCCTGTGATAGTAAATTTGTTTTATTATCCTAGAGTCCTCAAAAATCCATAAACATTTGGTAAATGTATTTAAAATTATAATTTAACATAATATGCCTCTGATATATTCTAGCAAGTCTTGGGAAAGAATATATCAAAAGTCTTTTAGAGTCAAAGCTAACTATCTAAAATTTTTTTGTTTATACATATACACATGAAGACCAAGAAAGGAAATTAAGTTGGAAAATTCTGAGGAAAAGCCAACCTTTTACTGTATACCATCTTTTCCTAAGTTTATTGACCTCTAAGCAACTAGAAACTTGAGGAAACTTTGAAGGAAATTAATATTAAACTAGAATATGTTCTCTTGGGTAGTTATAAAAATATTATAAAGGATAAAGCTTTTGATCAAAATTAATAAAAGATATTAATTAATCAAACATTAGCTATTTTTGTTTATTTGAGACAGGGTCTCATTCTATTGCTTAGGCTAGATTACAGTGGCATGGTGTAATCATGACTCACTGCAGCCTCAACTTTCCAGGCTCAATTGATTCTCCCACCTCCGCCTGCCAAGCAGCTGGTATTATAGGCACTTACCACCATGCCTGGCTTTTTTTTTTTTTAATTTATTATAGAGACAGGGTCTCACTATGTTGCTTAGGCTGGGAAACCTTGGTTTTAACCCTGGCCCTTTCTATTAAATTAAATTAGCGTCAGTTCTAACTTTCTCTATTTGTAAACTCGTGAGGACTCCTTTTTTATTCCCAAGATATTGTTAGAAATGTCTAGATAATTCATGAAATAGTTTGCAGATGCTAGAATCTTCTATAAAACTACTGGATAGTGATAGCATTGATAGATGGGATATGTGAATAATGAAGGTTTAATATAAGAGATGTATCATTCCCTTTTTGTTGTATCTCCAGTCTTTTACCCTTTTTAAAATAGAGTAAAAATGCTGATAAATAATGCCTGTGTATGACAGTAGTCAATATTTAGATTGGCTATTAATGTATGTATTTACTTAACCAACGGAAGGAGACCTTGAACTTTATGATGATACATTAATACATGTAAGTGATCAAAATCTTTATAAAAATAATATCCTAGTATTTCTAGCTCTGAAAGTTGGAGCTCAATGGATAACGGCAGCCATTGATTTTCTTTGAAATTTCCTTAAAATGTCATGTCTTGTTCCTCTTCTACAAAATAAGATTATTTGACTACTGTCTATAAGAAAGCTCACATTAAAACAGCTGCATAATATCTCAGCTTTATATTTGTATTCTGCATTAATAATTGCAGTGATATGCAAGTAATTTGAGGAGAGCTCAAATGAGCTCAAGAATTATCAAAATAATTTTGAATAGTTAAGATAGAAAACCCTGGAAAAATGTTCCTCGAGGTTTTGGTTGAGTAGTTTTGGGTTTTCTTAAAAACCATGAGTAAATATATATTTCTTCTTTAAAATAATATTCAGGAAGATGTATGTGGTAATACTGATGATAATATTGTGGAAGAATTGGCTTAATTATGGGATAAAATAGCTACAGTCAGTTCTGTTATAATGTGACATGCAGAGTCCTAAAAATCACTATCCTATGCAAATGGAGACAAAGTGGTTAGGGGCACTACTCTCAAAAACATGCTCAGTAACACACAAAAAGATGGTAAAACTAGGTTTCAACTACTGTAATGAATATAGCGCTTTACCTTGAAAAAAATCTTAAAATTTTCTTGTGGTGGTGGGCAACAGACTAGTTTGCAAGTTTATTGTGAATTGATAGAAGAAGGGTTATTTAAAATCAGATGGAATGGTGATGCAACAGACATGTTTGAGTGTGGCTAACACTCATGCAGTGAACTCAGGCAGCTGGTAGATGTTTGAGGTGTATATGAATATGAGCATTTTGTATATTAGATTAAATTAGCATCAGTTCTAACTTTATGAGTTAGATGAACATGGATTGATGAATAGAATTTTATTTGTTCATTTAGTGTTTATTATAGATGAAATTGTGCATAAGCAATCACAAATTTTGTGATATGTGCAAATTGTTCCCTAAAATAAATCAATTGTGGTGGAACATTAAAGTTTTCAAAGCAGACTTTATAACACAACTGACCTTTCTACCAATCTGATGTAGTCAGATTTGCCCATTAGAAAGAAGCTTGCATTATTAGCCAATTAAATGCAAAAACTTCATTTACATTTGAACACTTTCCTAATTTTTTTTTGGAAGTCGTTATTTGGGTCTCAAAACTGATATGAATAAAATAAAAACAAGTACTTAAGTTTTCCAGCTAACCTACTAAAATCAATTTTTATGTTACTCTTATGAGTTAGATTTTGATTAGCAGTAACTTTTTTTTCGTTTGGGAGATTAGTTATCAATTCCAAGTTGAAGTGCTAGACCACAATTCCTGCTGTAATTTGAAGTTGGGATTACTAATTTGATCTTTTCTCTTCCATATTCTAGCACAGTGGAGATTTGTTTACGTCTGTGAAGGTGGCTTCAAGGCAGTGCTTCCTCTTATGGTTACGCAAATTATCTGTTACCCAATTAATTCCTAGGTTTACCTGTCACTTGTTATGGTTGATTTGTAGTTATTTCATAAAATTTCCAGTAGATGGCAGTAAATTTCTTCAGTGATGGATTCACATTCTAATTTGTGCAGGCCCTTTGTATAGGCTATTGTCACAGTTGCTGTTGTCAGTTTATACAGTCAAGTTCTGTGGAAATTGGTGCCCGAGAAGCCCAGAGTATTCTAAAATGTGATACCCACGCTATAGATTAATCTTAATCAGCCCTAAGGCCATGTTAGTCTTAGCAAACCACTGTGGTGGTTGGAGAATCGGATGGGAAGTAGGAATGATTTTTAGATTCAACTGGACATCTGGAGGAGATAAATGGCAGATTGAACACAAGCATCTAATTATACTCCTCCAGAAACTGTACTAAACTAGCAAAGGTATTTTATTTTAAAGACATGATCCTTCAAAGAGAATGAGAAAGAAGAAAACAGCCATACACACACACACAAACACAAATTGAAAGCTGAAAAGCAAATAGAGTGTGGCAAATGACATAGCTCACTTAAGAAAGCCAAATCTTAATCTGGCTATGAAGAAAGCTAAAAATGAAGCTGATCTTTACCACAGAATCTTCAGCTCAGGAATTGAGCCAGACACGTGGTAGTAGATCCCCAGGTCTCCTCTTCTTCCCCATTCCACTGAACAACTTTTCTTCCTACCTATACCTCCACCTTGGTATAAGACTCCAAGGGTACTCTTTGCAGGAAAAAAAAAGCCCAAGAATCTTTTGATTGGGAGATAGTAGGCAAAATTGAGAACAGGGCATTTTACCACATATGAGGGAATTAAGTGAATATGTGCACACAGAATGATGAGACTTCTCCACCTTTCTCCTCTCACTTGCATTTACCTTATAGTCAAGGGATTAGAAGAATACCCTTTGGGGTATTTAGCCCGAGAAGAAAGATCTAAGGATACCAACTTTCCAAGAAAAGCCTGAAAGAGCAAGATTAAAACACACACACACACACACACACGTGCGCGCGCGCGAAAGAAAAAAGGAAAAAAATAACTTGGAGTTATAGAGACTAGGCAGAGAACAGAAAACTTTTTAAAAAATGATTAGTATCCTCAGAAAGATAGTATATTACATACATGAAACAAGAGAATGTTTTACAGAGTTGAGCTTTTGTCAAAAAATTGCAATATAAAACTCAATAGAAGTGTTGGAAAATGGAATTGAGAAAATATCTCAGAAAGCAGAGAGAGAAAAACGATAAAATAATGAGAGGACCAGTCTAGGAAATTGAATATCAAAACAATAATTCCAAAAAAAGGAAAAGAAAGGGAGCAAAACCCTGGCAAAATAATTTAAGGAAATTTCCCACCACTGAAACATATGTGTTTCCAGATTGAAAGGGCTTACTGAGTTCCCATGACAAGGCACAGTTCGTGAAATTTTATTTTATTTTATTTTTATTTTGAGACAGTCTCACTCTGTTGCCAGGCTGGAGTGCAATGGCACAATCTCAGCTCACTGCAACCTCCGCCTCCCAGGTTCAAGCAATTCTTCCACTCAGCCTCCCAGATAGCTAGGACTACAGGTGTGCACCACCATGCCCAGCCAATTTTTGTATTTTAGTAGAGACAGGTTTCACCATGTTGGCTAGAAGGGCCTTGATCTCTTAACCTTGTGATCTGCCTGCCTTGGCCTCCCAAAGTGCTGGGATTGCAAGCGTGAGCCAAGACGTTCGACCAGCCCATGAAATTTCAAATTGTCTCTGGTGACAAAAAGATAATCATATAAACCTGCAAAAAAAAAAAAGGGGGGGAAATTGAATTACATACAAAAGATCAGAAAGGCTCTAGACTTCCTATAAGCAATATCAGAAGCTAGAGAATGATGGGGAATGCCCTCAAAATTCTGAAGGAATTTTTTTTTTTCAGCCCAGAGTTGTATATTTAGCTTTAAACCATTAGGCAAGTATGAGGATAGCATAAAGACATTTTCAGACATGCAAGACTTGAAAAAGATTACCTCCTACACATCATTTCTCTTGAAGCTAATGAAGGATGTTTTACTAAAAATGAGGACAGGAGTTCCAGCACAGGGGAGAGAAAAAGGGAACTTTTAGTAGAACGCTATAGAGAGAACCAAGTTTAATAGCTCTGTACAAGATGTAGAATGAAGACAGCCAGTTCAGACTGGAGCAGCTGATAAGGCTGTAGCAAGACTTTCCAAGAACACAAAATTGATAAACTAAGTCAATCAATTGAAAGAATAGGAAGTGCAGTTGTGGTTGAATTAACGATAAGCACATAGATATCTAAGCAAATGAATAATACAAGAGAACACCATAAGAGAAACAAAAAAGTAGCTCAGGACACAGAGAACACTTCTATAGCATTTTCTAACATATTGGTATCTTTACATATATGAACTTTTTAATCCTTGTAAACCCAAGAGATAGTTAATGTTACAGTGAGTATTTTGTGGTTAAGGAAACTGAGGCATAGAGAGGTGAAGTCACTTTCTTAAATAGCCAGACAGCCAGTAAGTGGCAAAGATAGGATTTAAACCCTGAAAGTATGCCTTCAAGATCCATGCTCCTGACCACTGTGCTACAGTCTACATAGGTAATACCCTGTGACTGGAATCTAAATAGCATACATAGTCATACTGTTGTTTGCCCTTATGAAAATTACTATGTAACTTTATAGGTAGGGTGAGGGAATAGGAGTATGTATGCACTTACTGGAGTAGTGATGGAGGAGGAAGGATTTAGATTCTCATATTTCGTAGTAGAAAGTCAACGATAATGTCTAAAATAGAAAAATTTTTAAATATCAATAAAGCCATATTATTCAATATTTGATTAACTACCAAAACAATTGGCTAAGAGAGATAAAAGTGGTTGCTTCTGCAGAAGGAAATATGTTAAAAGAGGAGGGCTGGGGATTGCTCTTTGTTTTAACAAGCTGTAGAACCGGTTGACTCTAAACCATGTGCATATATATATATATATTTTTTTTTTTTTTCTTTCTTTTTTAAGACAGGGCCTCATTCTGTCACCCAGGCTGGAGTGCAGTGGCATGATCACAGCTCACTGCAGCCTCAAACTCCTGGGCTCAAGCAATCCTCCCATCTTAGCCTCCCAGGCAGCTGTAATGCAGGTGCATACCACCACACCCAACCAATTAAGGATGTTAAATCCCTAGATTTTAGGGAATTAAATGGAAGGGTATGTTACATTGATGACAGCAGGTGGGTTTCACACTACTAAAATATACTGTTTTTAAAATTAGCAAAGTCTCTTCTCATTCTACAGACACTTGTAGTAAGACATTAAGTTAGCCATTAAAACAGCTTAGTTTTTCCTTATCTAAAGTAAGGAAGATATATCGAATCTGACAAAACAAGACTAAAAACTTCTTGACATTTTTAAGTTAAATTATTATAATCTAATAGACAATAGAAATAGCCTCTATTGGATGCTTCAGGAATGTTTTTTTAAAAAAGTATTTTCTTGTCTTTGCCTCCTTGCTAAATAAAAATTCAGCTGAAGTAATGCTAAGGAACAAGTTTTCTGCAATCATAAATGCTGTGCCTGTGATGTAATGTATCATTTTGATTGTTTGTATTTCTGCCAATGAATTCAGAACCCACAGACCATGATAGTGAAATATGTAAGATTTCCACATAGGTCTCTTGTAGACTCACAGCAGCCTTTGCTTACATGAGAAGATCCAAAAATGCAATTTTTTTTTTTTTGAGTTGGAGTTTCTCTCGTTACCCAGGCTGGAGTGCAATGGCATGATCTCGGCTCATTGCAACCTCCGCCTCCTGGGTTCAGGCAATTCTCCTGCCTCAGCCTCCCGAGTAGCTGGGATTACAGGCACACGCCACCGTGCCCAGCTAATTTTTGTATTTTTAGTAGACCCGGGGTTTCACTATGTTGACCAGGATGGTGTCGATATCTTGACCTTGTGATCCACCCACCTCAGCCTCCCAAAGTGCTGGGATTACAGGCATGAGCCACCGCGCCCGGCCCCAAAAATGCAATTTTTATACCTAGGGTAGGAATATTTTTACTGTGTTTCTTGCAATGTCATAAAATTAGAATTCAGAAAAAACTAAGAAAAATTCTTTGTAAGTCATTTTATTTCACAATTTTCCAAGTAGTATTAGTGGTGAGCCTACCAAATATTAGGCTAACAGAATAATTCTCTTTCAGCTCTTAAAGTACTTTAGGTTACAGATTTGCCAGTGACCTGCATGAAAATAAAATAAATAAAATATGAACTGCAGGTTATTGGACAAGTTTTATATTTCAAACTGTTATTTTATGAATTCAGACTACTTTCTAACGTTCTATTATTTGGCCTTATGTTTAGATTTTCTTTATCTCTTCTTTCCCCCAAATGTTGTGGAAATTATTCTTCATTATGTTCACAGTACTGTTTTTTTAACTCAGGTTGCATATTTTTAGTGTTTCTCTGTGAAGTAAAGCAAGTTTCTGTGCCTGTTCAGTACTAGTTGTAACATTCTATTTGATTTGAAGTGATAAGCATCATAGATACTTTTATAACTACAAACAGCTTCCTCTCACTATTATTATGACTATTCATAAAACTTACTCAATTTAGAAACTAAGTTAAAACCAAAATAGCACACTTGAGTTATTCCCAGTTATGCTGTCATTCACGAATTTGGTTAACATCCTTCCCCAGTAACAAGCAATTCTAAGTTTTCAGTATATCAGCTGGTGTTTAGCACTGACTGAAAGTTTTGACACTTTAGTGGCTATCTCCATTCTTTGCCAGCCTTTTCTAAAAAGTAGTTTATATGTGCTCAGTAATTTTTTATTTCTTTTTTTTTTTTGAGACAGTCTCTTCTCTGTCACACAGGCTGGAGTGCAGTGGCTCCGTCTAGGCTCACTGCAATCTCTACCTCCCGGGTTCAGGCAGTTCTTCTGTCTCAGCCTCCCAAGTAGCTGGCATTACAGACATGTACCACAACACCTGGCTAATCTTTGTATTTTTAGTAGAGAGAGGATTTCACCATGTTGACCAAGCTGGTCTTGAACTCTTGACCTCAGGTGATACACCTGCCTCAGCCTCCCAAAGTGCTGGAATAACAACTGTGAGCCACTGTACCTGGCCTCAATAATTTTTTAAAGTACCTTGAAATCTGGTTTTATCTGCCACTGAAATTACCCCCAAGTACCAGAGATTTGATAAGTTTCAGAACTTTCATTTCTTTTTTTCTTTTTTTTAGATGGGGTCTTGCTTTGTGGCTAGTCTAGAGTACAGTGGCACATGACATGATCATAGCTTACTGCAGCCTTGACCTCCTGGGCTCAAGTTATCCTCCCCCACCTCAACCTCCCAAGTAGCTGGGACCACAGGCATGTGTCACCACAGCCAGATACTTTTTTTAATTAACTTTTTTGTGGAGATGGGGTCTCACTCTGTTGCTCAGGCTAGTCTCAAACTCCTCACCTCAAGTGATGTTCCCACCTCAGCCTCCCAAAGTGCTGAGAATACAGGTGCAAGCCACCGCATCTGGCCAAGTTTCGTAACTTCAGTCCTCATCATCTTCTAACTCTCTTCATGGCTTTCAGTGATTAACTTCCCTTTAAAACTTCTCTTTCTTGACTTCTGTGACATTTTTTCCTCTATTATGTTCTGTCTCGCTGTACTTTTTAAAGTATTTCTCACTTTTTAAATGGAGATGTCTAAAGGTCTAATCCTTACCCTTCTTTTTCTTTGTCCTTTCTCTGTAGTTGACTTCACTTTTATTCATGTTTTTAAATGTCATCCCTGTGCCTTTTAAATACCTTTTAAGTCTCTATTTTTGGCTTCTACTTCTCTTCTCAGTTCCAGACCATAATTCAGAATCGGTCATCTGAACAGCTATACTAAAATATTCAAAACTGAAGCCATTATCTTTGATTAGTTTCCCTTCTTTGTACCTCTCCTCCCAAACAACATGTTCTCATGTGATGGCCACTTCTGTTAATATGACCACCATCCTTCTAGTCATTCTAACTTTACATTGCTCTTTTGTTTCTACCTAAATATATTAATAGCTACTCATCTATCTCTTCCTCTTTCCATTTTTATCCTTCTGTATTAACTCATTTCACTGCGTATGTGGCATTATCTTCTATCACTAATTGAATCATACTACTTTCCTTGTTTAAACACTTTTACTGGATCTCCATTATCTGTAAGATGAAGTTCAAATTTGCAGTGGCACTAACGGTGCTATATATTCTGACCCAGATTTAGCTTGTTAAGATTGTCTTTTTTTTTTTTTTAACCTACGACAGGTATGTATTCTAGATTCTGGTCATGCAAGACTGCTTCAGATTCCCTAGGCATTCTTATAAACATGGGCTTTTGTTCACATAAAGCAAAAACCTGGAATATCTTTCCCTATACTAGCGTCTTCATTTCCACCTTCCATATGTAGAAATCCCATTTATCCTAAGGGCCCAATTAGATATCACCTCTTGGCAATCTTTTTCTTTATTCATTAATCAGAATTCATTAGCATTTTTATCTGTGATAAACAGTACTTTTTGTACTTCTGCTAGTTGGATGTATGTCCTTATGTTTTCAGTAAGTTGTTGGTATGTGTCATCTTTGCTAGATTGGAACCTCTTAGATGGTAGGATTGTTTCTTACTCACCTTGTTAATCACCATAGCAGGTTGTTTTGTGCATAATTGCAGGCTGGGTAAGTGACTGGTAGTTGAGCAAATGACTGATAGGAGACGTCTAAAATGCATTAGAGAAACACTTTCTTGACTCAGGTGAAGCATGTCGAAGTGAAAAATAATCTTAGATGTGGATAGTATTTTCTTATCCTGAAGGGAAAACCATGCCTACTTTAGAGAAAATCATTTAGTAATGAAATTAGAGAATTACTAAATATCATTGCATAGCCACAGGGCTATAAGCAGTATAGTCACAACTGCTGGTTTTGATAAATACAAAGTTGGTAAATGCCATTGTCCAAGTTAACAAGTCACAGTATCAAGTGTGCATGGTTGTGAATGTCAGACCTGAACTCTGTGCTGTTGGTTGATATCATAACCATAGTTGTGTTAGTAAGATATTGGTGTTTATTTTTAAGATTTTATTACTAGTAAATCACTTTTATTAAATATTTTCTTATATCTATAGAGAATGGAAAGAGAAATGATCTTAAAGGAAATGACCATTTTGTTCTTTTTGCTGCATTTCACAAAATGAATATTAGGTTATTTATAGCAAAAGCATGCATTAAGTTATTAAGAGATTAATTAATATATAAAAACCACACAAGATTTAGCAGTTATCTCACAGATAGAGGGTTTACTGTTTCAGGAAAGAAAATGGGTACCCGTAACTAGAACACATTCTGTCTAGAAGGATACCTTTACCAATGACAGTGCTGGGTAGTGGAAATGGCACCAGCTTTGAAGTTGTTTAAACCTAGATTCAAATTCCATATCCTCTTATCATTAACCTTGAACCTCAGCTTATTTGTTAGGTGAGATTTTTATTGTGATTCAAAAGAAGAATGGAGGTACAATAACATGAACTTTTATTTGAGGCAAAGTTCAGTTTGCTCTGACTCATGAAATCATGGAACAAATAATAGAGTAGGTATTATGCCTCTCATCTTGCTTGGACAGGTTTAAATCAGCCTATTAAAGAAATATGAAGCTGGGCATAGTAGTTCACTTCTGTAATCCCAGCTACTTGGGAGGCTAGAGTGGGAGGATTGCTTTGGTCCAGAAGTTCAGGGTCACAGATTGAACCACTGCACTCCAGCCTGGGTAACAAAGCAAGATCCCATCTCTAGAAAAAAAAAAAAAAGAAGAAGAAATTCGAGGTGTGACACCTTCGAAAGCATTCTATCTCTGTATCTTATGACTTTGTTTATTAGTTTTTCTCCATTTTCACTTGCCACTTCCTGTCTTCTTAAGTATAGTCATAATTCACCAGTCTGTTATGTAATGAAGGTAGAAAGATGGAGGTTGGCTTGTTTATAATGCATCTTGAAATATATTTTGGAGACTCGTCCTCGGCCCTTGACTACCCAGAACCTTTCCTGAAAGGGAAAATAAATAATTCAGATAAATTGATCAAAATTAGCTAAATATTTAGTTGCACATGTGCATGTGCCCTCTTTTTTGGTAGCCCAAGATTGGCTGCACTGTTTACAAAACCTTTTATGTTTATATTTCAAGCAGAAGAATTTATAAATCAGATTGGTGGAAAATCTGGTTTAATTTTGTGTGGAAAACAGACTGTAGCTGCCTCAAGGGATGAAGTATTTGTTTTGTTATACCCCCCCCCTTGGCACCCACCTGCCAACTAGTCTCTATAGTAACAGTGCTTAACCAAGAATGCTCCCTAGTTTCTCATAAAGCTGTTGTGTTCATTTGATCATTCTGGTTATTTTTATTTTATTTTATTATTATTATTTTTTTTTTGGTGAGACAGACTCTCACGTTGTCACCAGGCTGGAGTGCAGTGGCGCCATTTCAGTCACTGCAACCTCTGCCTCTCAGGTTCAAGCAATTCTCCTGCCTCAGCCTCCCGAAAAGCTGGGACTACAGGCACGTGCCACCACACCCAGCTAATTTTTATATTTTTAGTAGAGACATGGTTTCACCACGTTGGCCAGGATAGTCTCAATCTCTTGACCTTGTGATCTACCTGCCTCGGCCTCCCAAAGTGCTGGGATTACAGATGTGAGCCACCACACCTGGCCCGTGGTTACTTTTGTTTCTGTAAAATTTAAAGCCTATTTTCTTTCCGGTTGTCTTCAGATATTTGCATGTTAACATTTTTGTCATTTCAATTGATTTTTAATATAGCACAACAGGAAACATCCATTCATTTCATTTTTAAAAAATTCTCCTTACAACATTCCTATTTTGTCTGTGTTTGACATGTTCTAACTCTGAAGAGTAGAGAATAAGATAGGAAAAATTTAAGGTAGAAAAGAGTGCCTAGAACATAAATTCACAGGATGAGAAGGAAGTAAAAGTGGCTGAATTAAAAAGAGAACTGATAATAGAAGAAAGATAATTGTCAGTTCATTCTTTTCTACTTAACGGCCTTTAGGTTTCTTTCTCACTTTTAATCAAATTAGTGCCACCAAAGAGTGAAAAAGGTATTTAAACAAATATATTATAATTAATTTTTGAAGGTAGGAATTATAAAAGAAGTATTCATTCCGATACATGTATTAGGAACCAGATCAGCTAGGGATAGAGCTAATGAGATAATACATTGGATGTGCCTTAAATGGAGGAAAAAAATACATTTAAAAGCAGAGTATCATTAGCAGTGCATATAACAGTTGGCTAGAAATAGCCTTGGAGTAGACACTAGAAGCTAGAAAGTTTCACAGTGGTAGATAGGCTCCCTAGAGAAACTGTATCCCAAATAGGAGAAAGGAGAAAATTTGGCCTCTTTTAATAAGTTTTGACACAAGTAATATAGTTTAGAAAAGAGATACAGTAAAATACAGTAAAAGATGAGCTTTTATAACTAAATGTGTTACTCAAGTTAATAAGTTAGAATTAGCTGGGTACCATGGCTCATGACTGTAATCCCAGCACTTTAGAAGGCCAAGGCAGAAGGATTGCTTGAGGTCAGTTGTTCAAGATCAGCCTGGGCAACATAATGAGACCCTCTCTCTACAAAAAATAAAAAACTAGCCAGGCATGGTGGCATGTGCCTGCAGTCCCAGCTACTTGGGAGGTAGAGGCAGCAGGATCACGAGCCCAGGAGTTTGATTCAACATATAGCTATGATTGTGCTGCTGCACTCCAACATGGGTGACAGAGCGAGCAAGATCCTGCCTCTAAAAATAAATGAATTAATAAATAAATAATAATTTTTAACTTTCCCAAGAAAAATAAATTTTGCAGAATCTCATGGACCCACGTAAAAGGCTGGTTTATGTGTTTTTCACATTGGAAAGAATGAATCACAGATCAGGCAAAGGTATGTGGTATCAGTTCCCATTAGGGAATAAAAGAATAAGTTCAAAATTTAATTAGCAGAAATCTACTTCCCTTCTAATTATTGCTAATAAGTAAGAATAATAAGTAGATTTTCAAAAGAAATGTTATTAGACTCTGAGACATCATCTTTTAGTATTTATCTTTCAAAATTTATTGTATACTATTTTCATGTTATTGATAATGCTATTTCAGAATTGGTTATTGTACTAAAAGTTTATGTCTCAGAAAAGAATATCTAATTAATTTTGTTTTTCTTTCTACAACCCCTTGTTTCTCCCATTTTACCGATGTTATCTTCTCTTAAAGACTTTTGATCACGTTTTAGGTGATGATTTATTCTTTCTGGAGACAATCAAAAATAGCATTATCCCTATGGTTTAAACCATGCTGCCATATAAATATTGAAAGGCTGTTACTAAAGGACAAGTTTCATGTACTAATATTGTCCAGGTAAATAGAACAATCTCATTTTAACTTAGCATTTCTTTTCTATTTTAAATAAAATTAAAAATTACCAAACTCTTTAAAAAATTTCAGTATGTGTATATATCCAAATTTAGTTGCAGCTTTGGAGGTCCTCTTAAGTAGCTTTTTAAAACTGTCATATTTCCTAGTATTCATTTAGATTATAAGTAACATTCTTCAAGCTAGAAAATATTTTTAAGTTAGAATCTTAGATATTGGAAAATTATTAACTTACCAGGGAGAATATAATTAATAAAAAGCTGTTTATGTTATCTTTATTGTTTTATTTATATTTTGAGAAAGGGTCTTAAAGCTCTGTCACCTAGGCTGGAGTGCAGTGGCATGACCTTGACTCACTGCAGCCTCAACCTCTTAAGCTCAAGTGAACCTCCCACTTCAGCCTCCTGAGTAGCTGGGACTATAGGCACACACCACCACACCTAGATAATTTTTTGTATTTTTTTTGTAGAGACAGTGTTTCACCACACGGCCAAGCTGTTCTCAAATTCCTAGCTCAAGCGATCCACCCACATTGGCCTTCCAGAGTTCTAGGATTACAGACATGAGCCACCGTGCCTGGCCACAATTCTTTGTTGAATCAGAAACCATAACTGGCAGAAAGACAACCTTGTTGGTTCTTGTTCCTAGAAAAACAGTATAGAAATGGCAAGTCCTGAGAGTGATCTTATTTAGAGAAAAGGTCTTTGTAGATATAATTAAAATTCAAATCTCAAGATAAGAACATTCTGGATATCTGGATATTAGGGCCCTAATCCAATAACAAACGTCCTCATAAGAGACAAAAGAGGGGAAGACATAGACATGGAGGAGAAGGCCTTGTGAAAACAGAGCCAATGATTGGAATAAGGCAGACACAAGCCAGGGAATGCCTGGAGCCACTAGAAACTGGAAGAGGCAAGCAAGTCTTTTCCCCTGCAGACTTCCAAGGAAGGGTGCCTTTGCCTATGCCTTGATTTTGGACTTCTGACTTCCAGAAAATTATGAGAGAATAAATTTCCATTGTTATAAGTCACTCTGTTGTTGGTAGTTTTTTATGGCAGCACTAGGGAACTGATACATCTGTTTATTTTTTCTGCTATACAAGCTATCTCATCTCCTATCACATTTTTAGTACATAGTACCATGAATCGGCTACTTTTGTGAGTCTCTTATTTCTATTTCTTTTTTTTAAAAAAAATTTTTAATTTGTATGAGTATGTAGTAGGTATATATATTTATGGGGCACATGAGATATTTTGATACATATAATGTATAATAGTCACATCAGGATAAGTGGTATCTGTCACCTCAAGCATTCATTATTTCTTTGTGTTATGAACATTCCAATTTTACTACTTCAGTTATTTTAAAAT